GCCCGTGTCCAGCCCCGCAGCGCTGAGTGCCCCGTCCACATCAGCTCAGGGAACACGGCCAGAGCGGGGCCGTGGGGCAGCAGAGCATCCCGCTCCGAGGCTTTGTCGCGACTGGGCTCTCCTCCCACCTGCCCGGGCTCAGGGCTGGCAGAGCTGTTTGAGGATGCGGATAATGTGGCTGGAGGTGCCGGGGGTGCAGGGCTGGGGGGAATCACGGAGCAGCGTCGGCCCCATGCGCTGGGCGTGATGGAAGAGCTCCCGCGCGAAAACCGGCTCCACCTGCAGAGGCACAGAGCCGACGGAGGATGGACACAGGTCCGTGTGCCCCTGAGACCGCGATGGCTCCAGCGCCCGGCTCAGGGATGCCGCAAGCACCAGCCCCGGTGCATACTCACGTGAGCCATGATAAGCTTCTGGAAGTGGTGCCTGGTGCTGGTGGGGTACTCCTCCCCGAAGCACAGGTGGATCTGGTACTGCGGCGTGGGCTGCCCGTGGCTCAGGTAGCCCTGCAGCTCTGCAAAACACCGGCCCTGTCAGAGGACACGGCGTCCCCACAGCCCAGAGCAGCCACGCTGGGGCATGACCTGCCCCTGTTCCCGAGGGGATCGGGGTCTCCTGGGGCAGGGGCCAGCAGAGCCGTGTGCCCGGAGCGGCGGGTGGGCACTTACGCTGCAGGAACTGCTGCGTGTCCAGCAGCTTGTAGGTCTTCTCCCTCTCCAGCTTGTTGGGCCAGTCCCTGTGCGGGGCCAGTGGCCCGTTCCAGTACACCCTGCCCTGGCACTGGCGCTTCATGAAGACCCCCTCGGGCGCTACCCACAGCAGCACGCCGCGCTCCAGGTGGGGCAGGAGCCGCTCCAGCACGTCGGTCATGCCGGCCACCCGGCCACTGCCGCCAAGTGCCCGCGGCGGGGGGAACTCAATCTGCTCCATGCAGGAGGGGCCGTAGAGGCGCTCGCTATCAGCTGGCACGGCGCGGGAGGTGATGCGGCAGCCCTCAGCCGTGCGGGTGGTGACCTCCTTCACCAGCACGTCGCAGTAGTAGAGGCGGACGTGAAGCCAGCAGTCTGGGGCGAGAGGAGGGTCAACTCGCAGGCAGCCCGGTCTGGGGGGGCCGCCCAGGGCACTGCCAGGCCAGCGCAGCTCCTACCTGAGTGGTTGACATCCTCCACAGGGAGGTAGGACGGGGGTCCGGGGAGGAGGTGGCCGTGGGTCGGGTTCCAGCCGTAGAAGACTCCCCTCACGTGGTACCCTGGGCCAGGGCAGAGACGAGGTGGTAAAGGGACGTGGGCAGCTGTCCCTAGGGGGTCCTGGGTGCCATCCTGGCCCCAGCCTCTGGGCCAGGTGTGCAGCCGGGTTCTTCCCACTGCTGCTGCTCGTTACTGGGCCTCATTAAAGCCCCTAAATGCATGATCAACTGGCTTCTCTGGGGCAGGGAGGGAGCCCCCAGCCCCGGTCTCCATCCTCGTGGGCATTGCCTGCACAAGGGACGGGGCGCGGGGCTGCGGAGAGTGGGGTCGTGCCTGCCAGGCAGCACATGCTCCCTACCCCCAGACCCATCCCACTGCCAGGGCCCCTCCTCACCTCGCTCGGCTGGGTGGGCAGAGAGCAGGGGCAGCGGAGACACGTGGCACGTCTCCATCGTGCCCTTCTGGCTTTCCTCCTCCGGACTCCCCACGGCGCTGCCCTGGGGAGGAGAGCGGCTACGGTGAGGGCTGAACCGACAGCGGGGGGCCCTGAGCTGGCTCCTGCCTCTGCCACGGACCCCATGTGCTGGCAGATCCCCTGCCTGAGTCTGGCAGCTGCGTGGCACAGGGGACCCTCAGGGGAGCCAGCTGCTCAGTGGGACAGATGCAGGCAGCGTGCAGGCAGGGGAGCAGCCGGCAGACGAGGTGGGATTTGGGGCTCGCACCTTCTCCAGCCCGCAGGCAGCTCCTGCAGTGGATGGCACAGGGAGGGGGGCTGGCTCACCTGCTGATGCTCGCCGGCTGGGGACCGCATGTCACCGTCCTTCTCTGCAGAGAGCAAGGAAAACCTGATGAACCCCCGGCAAATGGCAGGAACAGCCCCCGGGAAGGTGCCTGGCTGCCCAGGACACCCAGAGAGGAAGAAGAGTGGGGGAGGAAGGGTGATGTCTGTGGGACACAGGGCTCATACAGACACGGTGCAGGCATCAGCCACAAGTCTGGCGCAGGAGGAGGGACGGCAGGGATGTACCTGTGTCCCGGGTGCCATCGGACACGATCTGGTACACCTTGTAGGGCTCGGAGATGTCCAGCTGGCTCCGCTCGGGCACCTCCTGGAAGTCGGTGCTCTTGTTGAGGGCGCAGCGGAGACGCGTCTTCCAGGTGGAGGGGTCGGCCTTGTCCGTCCCCTCGTGGTACTTCCCCTTGTAGACGGCCCAAGCCTGCCGGGCAGAGGGTGCCCTGCACTACGGTGGCTGCCCACGCCCCAGCCCCCTGCTCCGCTGTCCTCCGGGGGCCCACCGAGGTATGAGTCCACCAGAGCTGGGTGGGGGACAGCAGGGAGCCAGGGCTGTGTGTCCTGGGGGGCTGTGGGGAGCAGGATGGTAGGGGGTCCCAGGGGTGCGCACGGAGCTGGGTGGTCCCAGAGGTCCGCATGGAATGGA